CATAATAAACACCAATATTACCGACTTTCCAAGCGTAAAAGTGATGACACCGGCTAATCCATCATGCCTCGTGCATCAATGCAGACAACCTTGAGTCCATCGCAACTGGCTCAGAAATGTATCAGACCCCATTCCCAAGGGTATTCGCTTGGCCGTCTGCGTAGTCAACTCTCCATTTGTACTTTACCCATTTCCTTTATTTTCCCACACTTCTCGGACTGGCTTTAAGAGGCTGGGACAGAAGTTCAGGTTCAGCAGACAGGAGGATACGTGGCTGTCGTCGCAGTCATTGGTGATTTATTGTTTCGAAAGTTTTCCTCCATCGGACGGGCGGTATTGGACTCCTCCTCGGGTCGTTGAAATGGCATAAAACTTTATTGAAATCCCAGCCACATCCGCCTCATCGGGAGCGCATCAATCAAGACCCCAGTAACATATGTCGACAGATTGGTTAAATGCCACGCCCACTGCGGCAGAGCCAACTCATAAAGAGAGGCTCAAATGGAAAATTGACTTTGAGCCACATAAATTAGAAAGCCATAATGAAGTCGGGAACCGGATCGAGGCGGACTGTAAAATAATAAAAAGTGCGGAAAAAAGAAATAGAGTGAAATCTGCTCTTAAACTTTAACGCCTGGAGCGGGTCGAGAAGGTCATCGGGGGTCGGGCGAAGCCAAGCGCAGCTGCAAACAATGGCATTTTAAAAGCTCAGGGCAGAACGAGCTCCGGCTCTTTACTCGACCTCAAAGCCACAGACAGATACAAAAGAAGGGAGATGGAAAAATTCTTAGGGGGAGGCACAGAGAAAAAAATCGACTTTCCTAGATCAACTGGATTTCAGTATCAAGAATTATTTTTATCGAAATTAAAAGAAGTAAATATTTTCGGATATATTAAATTCAATACAACTTCTAAATTTAAAGATAAATATGTTTCCTTCTACATTTATGTTTAAAAAATATAAAATTCTTATTAAAACTTGAATTCTTATTAAATTTAAGATCTATCTACTCTTAGCTAAATTATAATATTTTTTATTAATTAACCTATTGGTTTTTTTAATTGAGATGGAAATTTTCCAAGACTTTTTTTTAGTGCAGATACCGAGTAATGCGCGGACGAAAACCTTTAAAGACAAACAAGGCAGCACGACGGTGACACAGCGGCACACATGGCGTATGCGTAATAACATTTTGCGTTACATTTGCTTTTTATTGCATACCGCAAGGCGGATGCCAGCCCTCTTGCTCCTGATACCGCTCCTTTGTGTCCTGCGGCCGCCTTAATTTCCGTGCCATGAGGCACGGTAAATGTAAATGTCATACGGCTAATGGGAAAACTTTAAACTGCCCAAACAAATGGGGACCTTCCGGGTCCGAATAAAAACTTTCCAAATTCGTCGCGTCATCCGGACATTATCGCACATAATAATTGCCAGTAGCGACTAACGAATGGCCATGTTCGTATGCCCCGAGTGGCCTTTTTGACTGATTTAAGAGCGGTTAGAGCACTTGTTTATTTTATGGTTTTCATAGAGGGAAAATGCAGTAGACAGACGGAACAGAAAATTATTCTTTAAGTTAAAATTAGTTGTAGAGTTATTTTTGCTACTTAAACCATTTCCTTAAGATCTGAAAATGCATATCTTAAGACCCGTTCATTCGTCTTTCGGTAAGTTGAAAGTGAGTTTTAAGAGGCAGCTCGGCCTAGGCTATCAAATTTTTAAAGCTATCAAAATAGTATTAAAAGATTTACTTGAATATTATCCAATGAAAATAATAATAATACGCTCAGAAAAGTTTTTTCAGTTAATTCCAGGTAATAAACAGTTTTAAGAATTACCGTGAAAAGATTTTCAATTTTTGTCTAAATATGAAAATTCAGCATTCAAGTTCTAGTAAGGTATAAATGTCACAGAAAACTAGACTAAAGAGAAGTTAAAGCTGGTTATGTTTCCAAAAACTAGTCAAAGGCGGACAGGCTCCATTGGGCAATCAAACATGGCCCACAATCAGGAGTGGCAAAGAAGAATCCTTCCAAAAGCGAGTCCAACTGACGAATGTCAAGCACAGCCATCGGCAGTAGGTAATTGGGAGGGCAAAGTGGCAGAGAGACTGGCAAAAAAGCAGCAAATTGTGTCATTCTCCGTTTATCTGTATCTGAATCTGTAAGTTTGCTGCTCAAACTCCCATTGAATAAAACTGGGATCGTAGGAAAGGCAAGGAACGGAAAGGAGGAGTGGAATGCCACTGAAACGGAAGCCGCGATTAAATACAAATAAGGCATTAAGTGCAAAGGCGCTGAGGCGCATAATACAAATTGCGTCGATTGGGGAGCGACGGGGAAGTCCCGATGATTGGGTGGGTGGTCTGTGGACTGTGGGTGGCTGGAAGTTTGTCTGGTTGCTCCTGATTGCCATTATGCTGCCAGTCTCACTCGGCGAGACTGGCGCTTAAAAAGGGCACAAAACTATGGTATGTCCATTAGCCACAGAAAAATTTAACAGAAATCAGAGTCAAACAATTAAGTAATTAAAATATTGAGGTATTAATCTTGTAATAATAATAATCTCTCTAAAACATATTTTTACCAGAAATGGAATTTAAGTGATACAGAAATGAGTTAGGCCATGAAAAAAATTAGTTTCAAACACTGAGTTTTATTTCAAATAGCTATTGTAAACTAAGGACTCATTAAATATAATAATATTTTTATAAATAGTTAACGATTTAGCGGGTGTTTTCCTGCCTTCCAAAAAAACAGAATCGTGATGTCTCAAACTGTTTATATTTTCATATAATGTACAGTGCTTTAAGTTTCAATCAAATATCTTATTTCTTTGGTTTTTGGTTTTAACCCGGTAAGCTTTTAGCCTTAAAGCCTTCCTCTAATATATAATATTATCTAGATTTTTGAGTTGCCCTAATCATAAACTAGACTTCTTGGTGAGGGAGTGTCCTAGTCAGCGTCCTGTTGACATCTTTTATACATTTTTGCTATGGCCTCGCCGTTAGCCTGCCAATTTATGCTCGGCAATTGCTCAGCCCATAAGTAGGCAACGCTCTTTATTCCATCCGCTGCTATGCAAACTGCCTGCAGTAAAGGACGAAATTGGAAGGACAGGATGTGGAGGAGTGGATGAGACCGACAAAGACCATTACACTGCGGCTGGACGCGCTTCGCAGGGCACTACATATACAAATAAAAAATAAAGGAAAACAGGAGGACTGGCAATTGAAAGTGGTCTGCTTAGTGGAAAACGAAAGCTGTTCTGGGCTTTAAAAATTCATGAATGTGTCGGGTGCGTACCCCAAATCCCGTCAAAGGAATGGGATCAAATCCCAGGCCGAGTCAATGGGTGCAAGTATGCCAATTTATATTTAGCTTCTCATCGGGGGCCCTTCACCCACAGACAAGCGTCCTTCGTTCACTATGATGTTGTATTCTTTTTTCCAAGCTCGGCCAGCTGCACAATTTTGCGGTTCATTTAATATTTTTTCGTGTTGTTTACCTGGCTGCTTGGCCAATTCTGTGTGGGCCAGGTCGAGTGGCGTCCAGCGGCCAATGGCATTAGCATCGGCATTAGTATTAGTCTTAGTATTAGCTCTGCCATTAGCCTGCTTCGCCGCGGGCTCTTTGAAGCTAACGAGCTGCCATGGCAATTAGGGCGGGGAGCAGACGCCTCACCCACCTGCAGGTTGTGCCCTTCGGTTTTTCCATTTATATTTTATTGGCAAGAATTGTAAGCTGCCAAAAAAAGTTGCGCCAAGTCATCACAATATGAATAAGTCAACGTTCGGGTTGCACTGGATTCGATTGCCTAGAGCAAGGAACTCGAAGCACTGCCAAACAAGTCTGACTAAATGCCTTGAATATTTGAATAATAAACAAGAATTGTAATATTTTGCTGTCAGGATACAGTTTATGTGATTTAGTTCAGAAAATACAAGAGCTTTAGTCTTTTTATAAAACATTAAAATATTGTATGTCCTTGACAATTAGAGAAAAAAATAATTTTTTTTCATCAAAATAGTTTCTGATGGAATTTGCTTATTTGGTATTACACCTCTTTTTTTCTCAGTGTCCGGTTGTATGGGTATGTGTAGTGGGAGGTGTCAAGCACCTGAACGCGGCTCAACTTTACTCGAATCAACTCGACGCCCTGTCAATAATGTGTATGCATTCAGTTTGTGTGTGAATTCAACAGGGCGTGCAGTTCCAATTAAATCCAAGCATTCAATTACTGAAAAGGCGACAAATGCACACACCTCCATATAGCATTTTTTGCAGTTCGAGATGAGAGCATGAAATCCACATTCAAGCAAAGTTTTTCCATCATGACTATAAAAAGCGAACAAAATGTGGGAATTGGCAAAACTTTACAGCGGCCTTTGAAAGAAACGTTGGCTTACAATGTTTGAGATAAGTTTTAAGCTATTTATTGTAAAAATACTTAATTTTTTGAAGTTTATGAATGTGTCTGATGCGTGTACTTAATTTTTTGAATAAATAAATTTAAAGAAAAATAGGCAACTGCAGTCCTTTCAAGTACAAGATTTCTCCCTAAAAATGTCAGTCGATGGGAGCTTCGTGTTGAATTGATTAAAATTGACAGCCGCAAGTTCAGAATGGAACCGAATCTGAAGGATGGCATTTGAATGGAAACAATGCCAGCCGCGCTTAGACAAAAATATCCTGCTGGGATATATGCGTCGCATTTTTTATGCCTTTGTTGTTCGGATGCAAAACTAGTTCCATATGCGGATGTTTTTCATTTAGCGCAGGAGGAAAAAATATCCGTAAGGGTGCCATGAGTCTGTCAGCAGCGGAAAATCCATTTTACATGTCGATTGGAAAAAAGGCACACAAAAAGAAATATAGGGTAGTCTGCCTAACTGATTTCCTGTCCCCATTCCAGAATGTTATGTTTTAAATATTTTGAAAAACACATTTCAAAAAAAAACCTTTCATTTATTTCAGTTCGAAATACGTTTAAACATCTATAGAGCTTTTGAAAATCTGAACTTCGTGATTCCATTGTCAATAAGGAACTTACAAAAGCCACACTCGTTGGCCATTTCAGTTCCCAAAATTTCGATGCCATGTAAATAGTTTTTTCTCAGAAAGTCCTGGGCCCAATTACCATGCAGGCAACCGTTTATACAATCGCATCCGAAAATATCACACGCTGCCTTTCCACAATAGGTTCCCACGAGGGCCTCGCCATTGGCGCAAATGGTGATCCTGCAGCCACTGCCATTACTTTTGGCACCCACTGCACCACAGACACCACCGCGGATCTTAAAGTTAAGGATCGCCACGGAAGTACAGCAATCGGAGGAGACACCGCCGATATATGCCAGGCAAAATAAGTGTGATCGGTATGGATGAGGTTATGACCGGTCCCATGATGAGAGATCTGGGGAGATTGAGGCATCTCACCTCACAAAAGGTGCTATTTATAAGAAGAATAATATTGATAACCAGTAACCAAATGTACTTTCAACAGAGGAATGTAAGCAGTTAATTCAAAATTAAACATTAATATTTCGTCGATACTTGGTACAATATTCATTGTTTACTTTATTATTTAGCAAGAGCAATCAAAATAAGAGCCCATATATTTAAATAAACGCAGGAGTTGAAGTAAAACGCGGCTTCTTCAATTGAACGTTATTGCTTGCTGCTCGCATCTATAATGTCAAATTCAAACTGCTCTATCTGTTTAATGTGATCGGTATTTATTGGATTCCGGAGAACTAAAAAAACCTTATAAAAATATGGTTGCAAGTGCATCATTCTTTGCCGCTCATTTTATAAGTGCGCATTAATTGCTGCATAAACCAAAATAGTGGCATAATTATAATAAAAAACTTCACTTCCAGTTTAATAGTAAATTTTATTTTTACACTTTGAATTAAATATTTTCGGTACTGATTTAGCCTCGAGAGGTGTTGTGTTTAAATCCCTTCAATTTAAATTTATTTCATATTTAAATTCATATTTATCTCCGGGTGGAATATAACCTGTGACCCATTATTTCCTATCATCTATCCATCTATCCTAACACTAGCACGAACGTTCATAGAGTCCTCGGTCTAAATGATTAGGTTATCAGTTTATCACTTTTTTAATATATCTATTTTTAGAAATTTCGAAAATATTTTTTTAAAATTAATTAAAATTTTAAAATAGACAAGGTTTATGGCCATTAAAAAGGTGTAAGTATATAGGATGGTAATAAATGGAATAGCCCTATAGCACTTTAAAATAAAAAGGTGTTCATTAGAACTATTATTCTTAACTTTTATACTTTTATTAAAATTGAACTTACAGTTGCGATTGATAATAAGTCTATTCAGTAGCTACTTGTAGCCTCTACATAAGCCAAATATATAAAATACATTACATATTATTATAAATAAACGAAGCAGATCACAAGACCTTACAAATTAGCAGATTAGGCCAAGCATCGTGAAGTTCTTGAACACAAAGTTGCGCCTGCAAGGCGTACATAAAACTGGAGTACACACTCACGTCCACACACGCAGGAACATAAAATGTGGGCACTGATTACATTTGCATATTACGTATACGACCGGGATATTGATGCAAGGGTTAGCCCCTCTGTTTTTCAGAAGAGTGAAGTGTGTTTACGCAAGGAATTTAATTTCCAACTTTGACTTTGGCCAGGCGGTGCACGAGAAAAGTTCGTGTCGGGTAAACTTTGTCCTGCCGGTGGTGCCATTGATCTAATAAAAGGACCACGGCCAGGCGCCATGTGTGTGACACTTGTGGAGCAGCCAGTTACCGGGATTATGCAGCTGCAAAGCGAGCTTTATATTATGTAATTCAACACGTTGCAAAGGATTGGAGGTGCACGGACAGGCGAATGGGTATCAAGCAACGAGCAACGCGCAAGGAGCAACATGCAACATGCAACGTACAACGAGCAACCGACAAAGCGGGCACGTAAAAGCTGCACTGGGATGAAATTTTGTAAGTAATGGTATTGAACCGCACTGCAATTAAACAAAAACAATTTTGTTGAATTTAAGATTTGTTAATTTTCATTTATAAACTTTTGTAGTAAAGATAAATATTTGAATTATATAAACACAGAATGGTTTTAATATACAAGAGTTTTATTTAACATGATTGATCTAGACCAAACTATATAAAATATGTTCTTGATTTCAAGTAATATAACAAGAATATTGAACTTTGGTATTTTTTATCAGTGCCCGCATAAATTGTGGTCCCTGTCCCAGGTCCGCTGCTCGCCTCGTCGATGGATGAATATGCCCCACCTGGGATCCACGAATTTCAATTAACGTGCCAACACGAACGAGTTGCTCCCCGTGGCGCTCACCAGCCAATTCTCCGCCACCACCTGCTTGATGGTACGCAATAAATTCCCCGAAAAAAACGCATGCCAGTAAAACCAACCACGGGGAGTTAAGCAGTCTCAAAATACTCTACTTATCGCAGAATTTTGTAATCCCCATGCAATATATATTTATAATTTCTGTAGCTTTTCGCACTCCCATCATCGGTGCATTGTGAGTTTATTTTAATCTGGATAGCGATTAAAACGTGACGACGTGAATTCATTCAGGCCAACCACGCCCACTCGCATTGATTTGCCGTCTGAATGAATGGATGAAATTTATGTGTTTTTTCGCTGCTGGTTGGTGAAAGAAGAGAAATGTTTTCTGCTAAAAGTGATGTTATCTAAATTGCATTGCGAATGAAAGTCATTAATAAGAGTTAAATAAAAACCAAACAGAAAGACAAATCGTGGCAATGATATGATTGTACATTCTCCGAAACACCAAGTAAGTCAAATTTATTATGTTGAGAAACAGAAAGACCTTTTAAATATTTCAAATGATTTCTAAAAATAAATTAAGGGAATTTGTTGTAAACATTTAGATTACTTTTTAATTTGCAATTGTATTATTTTGAATTAAACATTTTGTCAAGACACGGTTTATAGTAAATAGTATATATTATTAATTAAATTGAAAAAACATTTAAGAAATCAATTTTCTGGCGAACTAAAATATGAATATTAGCTCTTACAATCATTGTCTAAAATGATTTTCTTGCCTTAAACTGGAACAAATCGAATTCCGATTACAAATATATTAAAATAATATTTGAGGTACTTTAAAAAAAAAGCTTTTTGGATTGCTTGAGATGGTAGATAAAAAGCCTCGTTGGGTGAACGAACTGAATGGCTAGAGGCGGGGATCTGCGTGCTGAGGTGTTGCATGTGCCTCTAAAAATATAAAAGGCGAAATTGCGGGTGCTCAGCAAACACACACACACTATCGCGGGCAAGGACATTCAGACTAAACACACACACAGGGAAAGTCAGGCAGCTAAGCTTATTTTACAAACGCCAAAGGCTGACTAGAAAGTGAGCTTAATAGGCGACGTGAGAGGAACTTTGTGCCCAAGGAACGAACAGTTGAATGACTTACTCCGCCATCTTCTTCAATGTCCTTTCAACCTCTCTCACCACTTTTTCGCTGCCAATCTGGGTGTGTGTGCCATATCATTGGATTAGGGCGATTATCTTTCTCAAATATCATTTTGCACGAATGCCAACAATGTCTAAATTTCCCGCGATTATATTTAAGGCGCCCTGTGACGGTGGGCGCAGATTTTGCCAGAGGAATGGGAATGTGGTCGCTCTGCAGGCCACACACAAATGGTGCAGGTGTGCGGTTGCGTGCGCTTTTGTGGTTGCCCAAGGACCAAAGAGGGATCCGAGCACCTCCCACTCTCGCAGCCACTTACACACGGAAAAATATTTTCAAGCCAATTATACATATACCTTAATGTAACAATAATCGCAAAAAATAGTTGAAGTTTGATATGACTAAATTTATTTATAAATTTTAAATTCTTGATTATTTTTAACAGTCTCGAGACCTCAAATGATATGAGATCCAACCGAAAAATGTTTTAAAACAAAAAAAAGCTCGGAAACGTTTACCTCCGTAAAGAGAATATGCTTACTAATGTAAAGTAGTTTTGTGAGAGCATCAAATCGTCCAAAATTACATTGAAATTACTTAATTTTGGAGATTTTGTAGGTAAGTATTTAGTTGCTGTGCAAAAAAATGAACCCAACTACTTCAACGTCGCTGGCTATTTACTTTTATGGCTTGTTTGCCAGCTCGTGAAAAGTTTCGGGCCGCACGCCCAAGTGACCCATTAAACGAATTGAAAATGAACAACAGCTCGTTCAGAACTACAGAAACTCCTTAAACCCGATGATAGGACTTCTACGTACCTCGGCTTTGTACAACGGCGCGTATGTGTAATAAATTTTGATTGAGTTGCACTGCATTGCAGCTTAGGAGGCGAAAAAGGAGTACGGGGTAGAATCACATCAGATCGAGATTGCTGGCGAAAGATGTGGTCATTGCGGTCGAACGGATTTCATTGAATTCGCCGCCCTGCAGAATCACAAAAATCCCAATATGCTACGGCAATGTAGAAACTTTGCCAGTCAGAAACCAGAAAACTTTACCCATAAGCACTAGTATGGCAAAACAGAGCAAACCAAACACACATACAAACACAAAATACAAAAAAAAAGAAAATCACAAACTCGTGCCAAACAACTGGCAAAAGGAATAACAAAAACGTTTGGTATTTGCCACTCGTGGGTCTCGTGGAGGCAACGTGGCGTATACGCAATATGCAATTAACTCGACCATTTCCTCTCGGTTATGTTTCACTTTTGTTACCGGCACAGGTGCAAATTGAAAATATGCTGCCAATTAATGTTAATTAAATTCATATTTGAGCACTTTGAGGGCCGAAAGTGCTTCATTTCCTTGAGTAATAATGTTTTATCCGAATGTACACTGTTTTAATGAATTGCTGCATTGATTTTGCAAATTTGTGCATGCATTTATGATAGTTGTATTTATTCAGCACTGCGGGAATATATCAGACGATTGGTAAATTTAAATTTATTAAGGTTTTTTAAGTCATTTAAGAATAAACTATTAACCCTTTTTTGGTTTTCCAAATTTTTGACGTACTTAGGTTAGTCGTTTTCTAGATTTTCCTTTTCAATAGGTCTCACGTAACATGGAACCAATAAATTAAACGGCTGTTTGAGGACCTACGCTTCTGCCTTCTGGTTTTTCCATTGCCGCAAATTGCAGGATCTTCCTGTAATCCGGAAGCCTATTTTCACTTTCGCTTGGCAGCATTTCTTATTAAAAATTTCAATCAGAGTAAATTTAAATTTTTACCCCTTAATCGCTGAACTTTAAACATATTATAAATGTAATATAAATAGCGCTGATTATCTCAGTGAACATTATATATTTATAACTGTGAAAAGTTATATTAAACTTATGACCATATTAGCCTTTTGAATCTTGATTCGGAGACCGTTATCTAGTTAAATACCTTACAAATTGCTTACAAAATTGTGTTTAGTGAAAGTCACTTGTATAATGAATGAACTTTAGCGACTTATATAAGCTGCTTCAAAAGCCATTTGCACACATGGAATCAGCCACCCGAACGACAACCAGCCACCGAGTGCAGCTATTTTGGCCAACGTCGCTTGTTTGCATAAATTTCACGCACATTTCCCATTGCATACCATTTGGGCCAAATGAATTTTGCATAGATGGGCCATCTATGTGTTGTGCGGCTGCAACTGCACACTATATACATACAAATATCTGCCTGCATTAATGGATTCCATTTTATAATTTACAACGATAACATTTTGAGAACATAATAGCGAATGGCAACACAAACGTTTAATTAAAAGTGCTCACCTTTGGGCCAAATGAATGTGTCGAAATTGATATTTCTCTTCTAGAAAGGAATAAAGTATGAGATTCCGTCGCCCTGCAAGTGAAAGATAAATAAGAAAGTTAGCTTTGGGAATAGGTTATTGATTAAGTTTTGTGGACACACCAATATTTATACGTAAAATAAGTATAACATAAATTGACAAAATATTTTTATGGGACTTGTTATTATTTTACTATTTTAATTAAACTCATAAATACTAAATATATATATTCTTTATTTAAATTCATAAAAATATCGATTTAGCATTCATATTAAATACGCTGTTCAACTATGTAATTAAGAAGAGATACGATTTTCTAATACATTTTTTATTGCAAGTATCAAGTTTATTGTGATATGTATATATTTTGTGCAATTATGTATATACATTCATATATTTTAAGTAATTGAACATTTTCTCTGTGTATCCTTAGGAAACCAGTTGAATGCCTGGGGTAAAACATGGATTACTGTACGTCTGACCATTTGCATAATTAATTGTTTATTACTTTGTCATTCAGTGTCAAGTGCAGGCGATCGATGACATTCGTACTTTAAGCTTAAGCTGGGGCTAAAAGCGAAGCCCCGCAGAAATAAGTTGAGATAAATGGGCAATGTAATGCGCGCCAATTAACATGCCATTCATCTTTCAGCCGGGCCAGTTGAATTGGAAGCAGGAATGGCAGGAAAATCTCGGCGACCAAATGTGAGACGCAATCGCTCCTGAAAACCACACACGTTTATTTGCGCACGTGAAGACTGGCAACCCGTATATATGATTTAATATAATATCAACCGAAGGCAATGCATAATTCATTTTAAGCACCACTTACCGTTATGACGAACGGCCATGTTGGCGATTTAAGAGCAAGTTTAATGCCTTTAATACATCGTTCGGGCCAAAAAAAGGGAGCTTCTGCCGGCGTTGACCCTGATTTATGGTGCGTATACTTGATGCGGCCGCTAAACCGCACAAAATGCCTGCCGAACTTCCTCCTGCCATTTAATAAAGCCCACAATAAAACTTCAAAACATGAGCAAACGAGCAAGAGGATTGGCAACCTGCACAGGGCCATTATTAAATTTTATAACATTTCGATGCTTCTGCATTTCAATTGGGCATAAACGGTTTAAGGTTTCCAGCCTGCACACAATTCGCCCGTAAACTTTTGCTTGTTGCCTGGCAAACTCGAATTTTGATATATTCAAACCTAAGGGATAGCTACGAAAACTCGCTTCTGGTTGTGTGTTTTAGGCCAAGCACAATTTAATTTATCAAAGTCATAAACTTTCCAATGACTAAGCCGCAGAATGCGTCATAAAAGGGGGTTCGCACAGGCTCAGGTTTGTAGGTTGTTTATTGACTCTCAAATAGTGTTTAAACCAACTAAAGTCTTCTGCTCTACCGGGGTTAAGTTTTAAGGTATTTTAAATATTTACTAAAGCTTGAGGTTTATTTTAAATTAATCTAATTGAATATATATCTTTATTCGTGTGGCAAATTAAATTTTAAAGACTTTGAGAATTGGGTCAGATGAGTATAAAGAACTAGGACTAAAGCATTTTTAATTGGAAAACACTTAGAACAAAACATATTTGATTTTACCATTAAAGTACATCGACCAATAGGCAAGGTGCACAGTAAACAAAAATACACAACATTCTATACAAAACACCCATCTAGATACCATACAACGAACGATGGATTTTGCTCCAAAATCTGTGAAAATGATTTTAGTGCCGCATGGCACGGCAATTCGATTAGCAACCGTTTGATGTCCTGCCAGCCAGTCTCCCTCTCCAATTAGAGAGCCACTAACGACTCCTTTTAGCTGAAAACCTGAAAACCGGCCACACACGTAAACAAAAAGCAAAAATAAAACAAGTCCTCAAACAACCGCGGGCACGACAAGCGGAAAGGAAAACAAAAATCGAATTTTATGTCGCTTAGTCAAACACAAACCGAAAATCTGTTTATATATCGCTCGATGTGGGGTTCCTGTAGCGGCTCATCCTTATAATTCGACTGGTCTATCGGCTTAGGAGCTGTGGTCTCTCCAAGTTTGTGCTATTCAAGCATTATTTGCGCAAAATGGGTAACGAGGAACCCAGCTCTCAAACTGTCGAGCAAACACGCATAAAATGCGGCAATAATAATTTTTTTGTTCCATCCTTTTTGAGGCTTTTGGAGAAAGGTAAGGCTCGCATGTGTGTCTATAATTTATGCAACGCCGCATTTTCATGCCTAACACACACAGATTTCGATTGAAGCCGCCTGCCGGAAATCAACAAAAATTTATTGAGCATAAATTTAAATCCGACCGATTCTCTTCGCCTGCCCCCGTCTGTTGCTTTGTTTACGAAAGCGTTTTATGGGCTTTTAAATTGATTTTATTTCCATTCGTACTCTCATTTATTCGTCTCTGATTTCCTTAAAGCTTCCGTTTGCCAGAAGTCCTGTGGATGGCCCAATTACATCGGGCATACAATTGAAGAGATGAAAATGTTGGAGTGGGCAGCGCAGAAACACAGCTGTTGCCTTTGCTCACGACCCCCAGATGATTGGCAGGGGGTGGTGATGACGACCTACCAAGTGCCTCCTGCCCACTCAAAATGATCCAAAGCTCCGTTTCCATTTCCACCTTTGGCATGTTGTCATTTTCCCCGTGCTCACCATTCAATGGACATTCAATGAAATGTTTTATTATTGACAAAGACACAGACTCTCGCCATCTTATCACGCGTCTTCCACCCACACAAGTTTTCTGCGCCATTTTCCAACACACACAGAGGAAAATCTTAAGATTCATGTTCATATTGATATTCTCAAAGGCTTGACCAGTTTCTAGATTTGAAAATAGTTGCTTTCATAGTAAACAGTATTTAAAAGGTGAGAATTTTATTTAACCAAAATATGGGTAAATATTCAAGGTATTTTTTTAATATTAAATCAATGTCCGATAAAAAGTTTTTTATTAATTAAATTACTCAAAAAACTTGGAAACCTTCAAATTAATCTAAAACAGAAGACTTAAAAAACAAAATAGTTTAATGACATAATTCAGATGTTATTTTACAAATTCCAATTTTTCTTCTTATATTTTTCTCTGTCAGAATTTCCTCACATTTTTCTGTGTCCATTTAGATTTTGCCTTTGTCCATCGCCCTCCTGTGGCTTTCAGTACTGTTGCTGCTGTGGACTGAAATTGGGTGCGATAATATCTAATCATTACTTATCATTATTGGCCATGGTCAGGTGGGGGTATGTCCCCCGCCCACATCCCAAAAGTCTCTCCTGCTTGCCTTTTTTTGTCGGCTGGCTAATGGACGTTCCTTGGGTGCCTGACTCGATTCCCAGACTGTCGTCCTGTGGCTGTCAGAAAATCCCGCTCACTTTCCTTACCCACACCCGACGCAACGATTACTGAACAAATTAAATTAGTGAAAATGCCGAAACGAGGCGGAGGAGCCAAGTGAAGCAATCTAATTGTAGGTGAGGTGGGGGTTTGCGGGTGGCTTCGTGTCTGCCCACATGGGACATATGTTAAATCTGCTAAAAATGCGACCAGGTGTCGAAAGCCAATTGGCCTCTGGGGTGCATGGGCTTCCTTTTCCCATCTTAAACAAGCTAATTAGGTTTAATGGCCAGAGACCATTTAGCTGTCCGCTGCTGGTGCCTGTCAAATGCCAAAGGGGTTTCCCAAAGGACAATCGTAGGTCAAGGGTTAGTGAGAGTTCAGAGGGGAGTAGTTGCTGTCGGCACAAGTAGGAGACTGGAAAAGTTAATTAGTCATGTGCTTTTCGTTATTTAAATTGACCTGTCCTAAAAAGAAACAACTTAAAAAGGAATATGTCAGAACAAAAATCAATAGGCCAGTTTCTTGTACATTATATTTAATCATTTAGACCTCTTTGAAATCTAAAAACGAGTAAGTTAAATCTCAGATAGACTCTCCTATTCTGAATAATTTATGGCGTTGAAAAGCAAGAAATAAAAAGGGTCAAAAACAAAGTATATAAAGTATAAAAATATGAAATTTAAATTTATGAAACTATTAAAAAAAGACAATTAAGTCATCCATTAAAAATGTACATTACTATATAAAAACCCAAAACTTACATGAGAAATAAAATTCTACACATTTATGAGGTTTCATGAATGGCTAAGTAGAAAAACCAGCTACAAAAAGCTTTTTTTAATAGAAAAGCTTTGATAGAAAGAAAATTCAGTTCATTTCAAATTCCAACCAACACCTACAGAATAGAGACAACTCGTTAGACAGGCGGAGCCAAATTACCGCATATAATCTGAATACATTACCCTACATCCTTGAACCACTCACCCTCGAGACCTCGACATAGACCTAGTACAAGGAACCCAAGGTGAATCGATCAAACGAGGATTTTGGCATGGCAGCCAGTCAAATCAACAAAAGCTGAATTAAAGCAGGTCAGCAAACTGACAGCCAGTGGAATTTGTTGTGCAGGAATTTGCGAGTTGCCAGAGTCACAACAACCTCAGGATGAGTGCCAACAAAATCTTTCTGCGTTACTATCCGCCAGGTGGGAAGGTCATTAAACAAAGGTTTTTATAGATACTAATGTTTCTTTTGTTATCCTAGGACTGGCCATAAATTATCGAACGGCAAAGGGCAATGAACGACTGCGTCACTTTGATCTGCTTGACCTAGATTCAAAGTTAGTAAACTTTTTAGTAAAAGCCAATGGTTTGTCTAAAAATTCTGTGGTAAAAATGTAATTTTCCCTGTGTAGAACAAACATAGAACCTCTGGCAGATAGGATCCTCCTTCAAACTTTAGCCGAAGCGGAGCAGGATCGATCACCTACGGATTCCGACAAGAATTCTCCCCCTCGTCCTGCCAGCGGAAGTGTCACTAGATCTCCAAACACATTTAGTGCCTTGAAACAGGCTCTGGAAAAACTGCAAAAGAAACTTCGGGAACCTGTCAAGAAGAAATTCTACCTGCACAAGTGCCACAATTCGCACATCCTGCCGCTGACCAATGTGTCCTTCGATCGGAGTGGCGAACGATGTCTTACTGGCAGCTATGATCGAACCTGCCACGTGATCAACACACAGAGTGCTCAGGTGGAGCACATCCTTACTGGCCACGACAATGTGGTATTCTCCGTGGGTTTCAATCTTCCTCATTGGTAAGTTTATGTAAATAAATTGCGTTTTTTTTAAATTACTTTTTAAACTGATAAATTAAATTCAACATTTTAAAAGCTTAGCAAATGCTAGACCACACAGAATTTAAAAAAACTTTACGCCCTAATTCTAACCGAGATTATTGTCCTTTTTGGTTTAAGACTTTTTTTTGAATTTAGATTTTTTTATAAATTACCTAGACTTTTTGAATGCCAAAACACACTTTATCTGACACCTTAACCATATGGAATATTTCACAGCGACAAAATAGTGACTGGGTCCTTTGATGGCAGCGCAAAAGTTTGGTCTTCCAGCAGTGGCCAATGCCTATGCACTTTCTATGGGCACACTGCCGAACTGGTGGCCGCTGAATTCCATCCGATGCATTCAAATTCCATAGCCACTGCCTCCATGGATGGAACAGTCCGGATCTACGATGTGGAAACGTCCCACGAACTCCAGCAACTCACCCACCATGGAGCAGAGGTGATTGCGGCGCGATACAATCGTGATGGTCAGATGTTGCTTACTGGATCATTCGATCATACGGCAGCTATTTGGGATGTGCGGAGCAAGAGGTGGGTTTTGAATTCCGAGTAAGATCGTATCTAGAATTTCCCTTTACAGTCTGGTCCATCAGTTGCGAGGTCACAGCGCAGAGTTGTCCAACTGCGTCTGGAACTTTAGTGGATCCCTGATAGCCACGGGCTCCCTTGATAACACAGCGAGGATCTGGGACATAAGGAAGATGGATCAGGAACTTTTCTTAGCTGCCAAGCACGGTGATGAAGTGCTGGATGTGAGCTTTGATGCAGCGGGCAGACTTTTGGCCACCTGCAGCAGCGACTGCACGGCGAGGGTTTGGAAAGTGGAAGGGTCCTCCGGTCAGCTGGAGATGCTGTCCCTGATGGCAGGACATGCGGATGAGGTATCCAAAATGTGCTTCAGCCCCAGTGGTTGCATGTTGCTCACAGCCTCAGCGGACAATACGGCTCGCCTGTGGCTCACAGACTCCGGACAGTGCTCCCAAGTTCTGGCCGGGCACGAAGGTGAAGTATTCAGTTGTGCCTACAGCTACACAGGGGATGCCATCCTGACCGCCTCCAAGGATAATACTTGTCGCTTCTGGAGGTGATACGACTGGTACACAGTCCAGCTGAACGATGGATCAATTGACTGATTAAAAGTTTGGGGTTTGATTTTTTTTTATCAACATTTACTACAAACTCGAGCGTAATTTTGCTTTTCTCTCTTAAGATTTTCATCATCAACTTGCATCTTATAAATTAATAGTTCTTAGTTTTCATTCTCGTTTCTTTAAGATCGGACATTATTGTGGATTTGATTTTGTTTTGTTTTGCTTCGCTTACTTTAGGGTTTAGGTATTACTTTTTTCGTTTCCGTTTTAAGATAGTTACAGTTTTTGTTTGCTAGTTTGGTTTTCTTTTACCATTTTTTTTCTGGTTTTCTTTTAACATGTTTTACTTTACATTATTAAGTTTCGCTTCAGGCTTGGCGACACATCTTCTCATATACATATAAAAAAGGTGAACAAAAAGTGTTTTCGGTAACAAACATTTTACAACTTACAAAAGTCCGCTTTCGTTTCGGAATCAATAGTTAATACATGGTTTTTTGAAACAAATAAAAAGTTGTTTTACACAACAATTTGAACGAGTGACTCGCGTTTTTAACTGTTTTTCGTTTTCACTAATTTTGTTTCCACAATTTCAAGAAGTTTTATCTGGCGGTTTTACTGGTGATTGCTGATTGATGAGGAGTGACGGAACGATAGGGCACACAGAGGGTTAACATTCACAAAGATGGATGGGTCGTTCAAGGAATCTGTTCGGAGTAATCTGCTTGGTGTGGTCCTCATGCTGGCTTTAAGCCATCCTCTGATTTGTAACCGAATTCTGGTTCTCTGAAGTCTGCTCAGGTACGCTCTGTTCTGATCTCTCCTATATCTTAGAGTTGTGTGGGGCGTGGGTGTTTGTATTGTTGTGTTTAGGACTGCATCGTATAAACTATAAATGTATCGTTATTCTTATTATTATCATTATTAGTAGGTTTTTCTTTTGTGTTTATCAAAGTAGAAAACTGTTTGGTGTGTGTTCTTGTTTGTTTGTTTGCTTCGTTCAATTTGTGTGGCTCTGCTTTCTGTTCTGATCTGGTTGCTGCATTTGTTTAACTGGTTTTGTTTAGTGTTTCGACTGCAACCTAATGCGTTGGACTCTGCAAGAATAACAAATATCTCGATTATTGACCATAGTGGGGAGCCGGTTGGTTAGGGCGTTTTGACACAAGATGCAGACTTGCGGCTGAGGCGGATACGGAATTGGGTGGAAAAGATGAAACATGCAGGAACAGACACGCGGTTCTCTCAAATCTTTAAACAAAAGAAACGAAACAAAGCAAAACGAAATGAAGGCTGGTCGATGATGGAGGGACGAGGCAAGCAACATAATGAATTATCGCCTTACATTTAAAGTATGTGAAGCTTTGGGTGTTTAGTTATCTTTGTTCTCTTGCTGGTTGGTTGGTTGTTGGTTGGTTTTAAAATGAACAATTAGCATTACAAAATTCATATATCATCATATGCATACAGCTAGAAAAAAGAAAGAGAATAGGTAGCCATGATTAGAGGTTACGAGACATGGGCGAGGGAACCCCCAACTGAACATAAGACGATAGCAGTGATTAATGGTGACAATCGAATGAATCTGTGATAGCTCAATCATTACCAAATCCGCTGGTGTCGATCTACTGATTAAATCAGAAAAAACAAGGCAATTTCAAAGGCTATAATGATCAAAAACGGTGCTATGCAAGCGATAAAATATGTGTGTTAGCAGTGGCGAAAGCGCAGCGAACCGAGTTATAGATTATAGAACAGATTTCGTACTTCACATGGTCGATCCGGAAACTCTTGCTTGAATGTGCGCTCGATAACGTGATATCTGCAAAGGAAAACACCACTGATTAGCAATCGGCGGCCTCTATTTTCGAACACCATCCACTCACTTGGACTGCAAACCGCCACCCGGTGGAAGACCTTCGATGTCGTCTCTGTTCTGTAGACACTTCAGCAGATCCACGTAGTCGGTTATCTTGCTAGACTCTATCTTGTCTGTAACAATATCAGAAAGAACCCAGTGGTTAGATCAGGTTTTTGGCATGTAGATATCTTAGCTGAAGACTTCTATAAATAAATATTTATGTACATAAATGGTTCATAAAGAAATACGAATTACATAGTTAAGCTACTTTTAAGCAAATGCAATATAGATATGAACTTTGTTATAAAATATCAACTAAAATTAACATTTTTGGCCATCTCAAGCGATTTTTAAACGAGGGAATATAATTAATTTGATGCAGGTCAATGGGCAGAACATAGCTATAGAAAAGCTGTCTATTCTTTTGTTGAATAATAAAAACATATTTTCTCAATTATGGTTTCAATCACGCATTAAAAGCCAGGATCAAAATTAACACATCGGATTCTTAAAATATACATTAAAAAAAAATGTTTTTTTACAATTTGTAAATTAAAATATTTGAAAATTATTTTATAATATTTAAAACTTGACTTATCCATTGACAAAAACATTTAATAAGCTATTTAAACTAAACCTTTTTTATCAAATCGAATCTTTGAATATAAAATTTGAAAAAAATTGAAGTGATTGTGACTGACGGAGGCATGCATTTTCGATTATCTGTTGGATTGGGTGGATCACTTTGCACAATTAATACACAGATAACAACTTATTGGCGGCGGGTGGGGGCTGGTGTAGGCAAAACAAAATCAAACCAATCAATCGATAAGATAAAAGATAACGAAATGACAAAGTGACTTTCGAAAATTTACAAACTACAAAATTATAGACGTACCTTATGCTCACTCATCTTAAATTTGAATTGCTTTCTGTTTCTTGTTCTTGCATTGAAATTTGGCCCATTTGGCTTATTCGCGCTTTGATTTGGCAATAGTGTTTTAGTAATTGGGTTTTTGTAGTACGACGCGCGAACAACAACCATAAAACAACGACATCGAATAGCTAAAATTTTCCTTTTGACACATTACTAAGCGTAACGCATTAGTTGGAACTGGCTTTTAAGATATCAGGGAAAAATAATGATAATAATAAACCAAAAAAAAAAATAAAATGATCTGTTGGGAATTTTTTTTTGAAAAAAATATTATTAAATAAGATTGTCTTACTGTTTCGTGAAGTGTGAAAAGAAAATGGAAAAAAGCGAATGAAAACTGAATGTGAACTGAAAAGTTAATCCAATAGAACGGCAAACAAACACTGGCTTTGCTTTTCAAATCTTTTGTTAAGTTATATTTTTGATGCAATCTGTTGTAATTCATTAATCACTATAAATCGTGTATCTTGGCATGTGGTTTGTGTGTGTCTTACACTCTTGGCTGAATCACCAATTTATTAAGGAACCCGAGTACAAACATTTCGGGGGAATATCTGAGATTGTGTGGAATATGTTTGATCGATATTGGGTAAAGTAATCGTTTGCCTTCGTTAACAACAAGCACAACAGTTGGTGAGCATAAGGTTTACAATTCGGTTTCATTTAACCTACGTATACATAACATTCAAAAACCCTTTGGATAGTCTACTCTAGGCTAAGTAATTCGTCTGGACATTGAGTATTTCCCTTCATGGGTTAATTGCTTATACTAGGTAATTCGGTAATTGGTTTTGCTACTGTGACCAGTGGTGGGCAATGCATGCTCTAGTTCTATTCACTAATTCGCTAATTATAAATCGTACGAATCGGGTTAAAGTATTTGTCTTATCAACAAGGTCACATCTGAAGGTCGGCCTCTGGATATTGGCCGAAATTCACTTTGGTGTTTCGAATACTAAAGTCTCAGAGATATCTCCTCTTTTATTTATTGCTTTCTATACATAATCCATGTAATATGACTACAGTTCATCTGAGCGGTTGATAGTTAATAAAATATATGTTTTCATTGCTTTTGTCAAGTTTTCTGTCAGCTTTGAAGCTTCTTTACAACGTATCTACAACGAATCTTCTTTGAAGACATCCTCCTATCCCTTCCTTTCTTAGAAAATACGTGTTTATTCGCTATTCCTACTAGTTACATCAATTCCAAGTGTTGGTTTGTTTTGAGTGTCAATACCTGCGTACGTTAAATATTGCAATTTTGTTTGATTGATTTGCATTGTGGCTAGTATCAAATGTAGTATACGTATACGTAAATGTATATACAAACTGGCTGACGGTTCATTTAACTACTTAGTCCGGCAGGTTCGTCGATAATTGTTAATATTTAGGTGTATATGTTAGACTAAAGCTAAATGGGCTAGATTTTCGCATACATGGAACGCTTTTGGCAGTGGCTGTGGTACACACAGGCATGTATAAATAATACTATAACTCAGGCACACACTAATGTCAGAGGAGCTCTGACTAGCCACACGCACAGCCACCAGATATGACAAACTAACACGCTATATAGGTATTTGCTATGCATTAGCGATAGGATATTGGTGGTACGCCCACACACGCCCCCATTTACATTATACAGGCAGTATACGGTGAAAGTTCTCTAGAGAAACAGTTCAAAAATCCCTGGGTTAAAAAATATGGTTTTGACTTTTATAAACGACTGGGACGACAAATTCGATCTTAAGGAGCCAAATTGTGTAATCAGTTATTATGTGATCAATTTTACATACTTTTTGTCCTGTATAAGTTCAGTAATTATAGGCATTTAAATAGAACTAATTTTGTTAATGTATGCAAAATGATCTAGCTAACATCTAAATAATTTGATGTCAAATTTGCTAGGATCGAAGTAACTTAATTTGATTATATGTGCATATTATTATCTAACCAAAAGAGAACTTTCACTGTACTTGGTGCGTGTGCGAGCGGGGTTCATTCTTGGCATTGGTAATGGCAATGGTTTGGTATTCGTTTTGGTATTGCTTTTGTTTTGGAACTACTGTTGGAAGGAACTATTCTGCTGGAATCGAGTTTTTGGACAAAGTGGGACAAATACTACACTAGAAGGTCTTAAGGTCAGGGCTGTGGCCATTAAAGGACCCTTTTAAAAGCGCTCATGGCGTTCAAGGTACAATGTATACGTATTTCGGTTCGATAAAGACACGGAGACGGAGGAGACCACTACGCCATGGATCAACAGTTTACGATTAGTTATAAACAGAGTAGACGACTTAGACAACCTCTTGTGATCTTCTCGATTTGTTTCTCCAGCCGATGCTCAGCCTCTATCGCTTCCTTAGTGGGCTTCGGGGCTCCGGGGAAGGCGATGATGATAATGCTCATGTTATCCCGACTACCCTGAATTCCGGAAGATTATCAGTGTTAATATCTACTGGATATTTTTGAGATTCATGACTCACCTTGTGCAGGCAGGTGTCCACCACCTGGTTGGCGATGCTTACAAGGTCGCTTGTCACCCGCATTCGCGAGTGGATGAAGCTGCACACGTCCTCGTTGGTCATCACATCCCAGATTCCATCGCAGGCGAGCACCAGAAACTCATCGCTATCCTGACGGCTCTGGCAGAATATCTCCGGTTCCGGCGACACCAGCTGCTCGCACTGTCCTTTTTCCTTGACGTTCTTAAAGTCGTAGTCCCCGAGAGCTCTAGAAACGGCCAACGTGCCATTCACCCGCTTGATCATTACGCTGCCGCCAGCATTGTGGATGCGTTCCTTTTCCTCCGGCAGAATGGGTTTGTGGTCCTGCGTGGCGAAAACGGGAACTCCTTGGCGACACAGGACTGCTCTTGAGTCCCCACAATTGGCGATGTACACTTGCGTGAGGCTGACAAAGGCGCAGACAGCGGTGGTTCCGCCGCATTTCTCCGTCTCCTGGGTGAATTCCGGCAAGTCCCGCATCACCTCGTCAATGCGGAGGAAGCCTGTGCGAATGCCCTTCACGTGGTCGCCCCCAATGAACTCCTCGGTGCTGATAATGCTGGTCAATAGATGCTTGGCACAGTGCTCCGATACCTTGCACCCTGCGTGCCCATCGAACACGGCAAAGAAGCTCCAATCAGGTAGGACATCCCCCAGCCCGGCACGTGCGTAGTAGGCGTCCTCCATCTCCGACCGCCAACCCTGCATGGAGCTGACCCCGAAGAGCAGCTTGTTGCCCTCGCCCTGGTCATTGTGCTTGGCGGTTTTCGGCTTATCCAGGAATCCGCCCATGTCTACTGAACATGCTGTGTGCTGTGTGCCGGGCGGGTGCAATTTGTTCGCTGAGCCAAGACTCGCCGCTGCTAAGGATTCTACAGTGGTAGGATAAAAGGATACGATACCATTAAACGACAGCCAATCGACAAAGCCTTGAACTTGAACGCCGAGCGAAGAAAATACAAAACGGGAAGATGCCAAAAGAGAAGGTCTTGGGCGAAAAAGCCTAAACTCTTTTTGGTCAAGTCATAAACTATTTCATCTCGTTTTAGTTATAATTTAAATATATACATATATATGAGCTATAATAAAAAAAATCGTTTTTTAGTGTCCTAAAACAGAACGGAAATGCCACAATCAGCTTTTGAGTATCAAATAAAAAAATATCGCAGCCTCCATTAAAAATGAGTTGACTCACTATTACTTTAATTTCAGCCAAACATGAAATAATTAATTGCAATTCAATGGAACTCGAAGCTTTAATGAATCTTAAACGCATCTCGCCAATAATTGAATTAAGTCTAGGAAGTCTTTAATACTACTTATTTGTCCCATTAGTATTAATTAGTTAGCAAAAATTTGCGTTTTATATTACATTCTACATTTTAAAACAAGTATAGAACAATGTATAAGCTTTATAACTTTTAACATTAAAATTTAAAGAATAACACGATTGGAATGCAATTATGAAGCTTGAACTATATGTTGAATTGAAGAATTATAATTAGTTATACTCATTACGGTCGATCGTTTAAACCAAAGGACTTTATGTATTACTGTATACAAAGTGACAAAAACATGGGAATTATGAAGTCGAATCAGCTGTCGCTACATAATTAATACATATATAGTAACTACTTTATATGGCTTCCTTGGCAAGTTTGCCGTGATTTTAGAACAATAATTTTAAGCCGACTGCAAGGACACGAAAAGTAACAAAAGGGGGGCGCGGCGAAAATCCTCAAGGCAAGTGCCTCCCACGCTTTTCACCGTTATTTCCTCTTTGCCCTTTGTTTCTTTTGCCCTCCCTTTTGGCACATCGATTTATCAAGGACGCGCCTTCGTCCTTCCGCTTGGGCAACTAAATTTAGCACTAGAAAGTGGGCGTAACAATACAGTTAAAGGAAAATGGGGAAAAAAATGCGCGCGACAGCATCCAGAATTTATTTCCCATTCACAAAAAAAAAAGCGCAAGTTGGCAGTCCCATTTTCGGGAAGTGCGAAGGGGGTGGGGTAAATCAGGCATGGCCCCGAAAAATTGTTAATGAAAACACACTCGCGATTTATGAACTTTGGCGCTGTGAAAACCTTCACTCTCGTTATTTTCACCTCGCAAATTTTAAGTTTGATGGTCTCCGCTTCTTGCCGCTGTGTGTGTGTGTGTGTGCTGCGCTCTCTGCGTGAGTGTGTGAGTTGCTAAGCTGCGTGCGTGTGCGTCTCTGCCGTAAGTGAAAATTTAAGAACAAAAATTCGGGGGGTTTAGAGCGTTTTTCATCGCCTCTTCGCGCTTTTCTGATTTTCTAACGAATTACGCGACAATTAACACTTTCGCACGATCGCAAGCTGCACTTCGCAGGCGGAAATAGAGTTTTTTTTATTATTTTGATTGACAAAGGTGACGCACTAGAGCTGGAACAAAAATCGATTACTTATGCTAATATTATCGAGGCTTGAAAATACAACGCTGGTGTGGATCGTGTACTCGCTAACTATCGTGGGTGAACTCCATAATTGTGGAGTGTGAACTCGCTTACACTGGTTTGCCTATTCGCTAAGTATGGAGGGTGTACTCGCTATAGTGAAAATGTTAACCGCTTAAATAATATCACGAGTACTTCTGTTGACAACAGAAAAATGGCATCGCCGGGATGGGAATGAGAGGTTGGCAACGCCGGGATGCGAAGGGTGGCAACGCAGGGATGGGAGATTGGCAATGCCGGGATGCAGAGGCTGGCAACGCCGGGACGCGGTAGCTGGCAACGCCGGGAGGGGAGAGTCTTGAGGGTGGCAACGCTGGCAGTCTTGAGGGTATGATTTCGGTTATGTGGTTTGAAAGCGTTTTCTGCGCTTTTATGAGGGCGGTCTATGGTTGTGCTGGATGCGGGGTAGTGGCGCGGTGGCGAGGTCGGAAAACTGAAAAATCGGGGATCGATAGTTCAGTTTGACGGTCTGGCAGCACTGTATTTTGCACAAGGATAACACGCGCGACGGGAAAACTGCGGGAAAACTGAACAAATTCGTCCTTTTGGTCAATATAAAGTTTTGGATGTTGTTTATATATAAAGTCTGTAAAAGTGTCTGGAAGGAATAAATTTAAACCTTTGAAAATTAGACATCGACTTAAATTTAGTCTTAATATTGTCCAATAATTGAAAAACAGGGGTCCTTAAAAATTAAATAATGTGGAAAATAATAGAGCTTATAAACAGGACACTGACTAACTAAAAGTTGTATTTTTAGCCTATGACGTTTCCCCTAATACATTTTTACCCTATTTATATGCCTTTGTTATTCGCATTAGATTTTTAGAATTTTAGAATTAGAATTATCTACAAATGAACAACAATATTTCGAATTTAATGTATATAATGTAATTTTAGAATTAAGACAAATTACGGATGATAATCAAACTATGGCCAATTTTCTCGTCCTAGGAGTAAACTTCTTTTAGCTTACCAATAAGATAAGAAGAAAGGGAACAGTTTAAAATATTTGAGAAAGTATTTAATCAACATACCTTATTTAATTCTGAGAATTTAGCTGCCTTCATTGAGACCGCTTTGTTGCGACTTCGTTTACCGTCATAATAATAAACCGAGTTTATGTGTCCTCTTTTAATCATAAAATAAAAAAAAAAAACCTCTTATGATTTATAAATATATATTTTATTAATTTTACTAGACATGTTTCTATGAGCCTTATTGGAATGTAACTTAAAATAAATTAAATGATTGACAATAATGATTGACATAATCAGCAGAATTGTAAAAGTTTCCATCGTTTCCAAGATTAAAATAAAGATTCTTATTTATTAGCCTTTGTTAGCAATAGATAACAAAAACAAAAGAGCAAGCATACATCATAATAAAACAATTTTACATTAAGAATGTAATGAATGAGCATACAATTTAGTATATATAATTGACATTAGTGTAGATACAGATAATTCTGATAAATACGGTGATTTTTTTACAAGCAATTTATAATGAATCAGAATCGATTTTAAATAACCCATAATAATTAAAGCTTATTTGATTAAAAAGTGTTTAAATTAGGTGGCAAAATAATTCTCGGGGGTTTCACTGATAATGCTGATATGACATGCGTCATGATAATGCTGATTGAAACAAAAAATGTACCCGATAAATACATGATCGTAAATCTTCGAAATCTGATTTTTGAGTGCAGTGGGTGGTATAAAAGCCAAATCTGGTTCTTTACGCACCACACTCTTTCCAAGTTATTCAAGTGCTGAAAGTGAAAATGCTGTTCAAGGCTCTGACTCTTTTCCTGGCCATTGGTGCCGTCCGCGGAGCCGTGGTTCCCGATTCCATTGAGATTACGGCGGAGACCACGCTGATCGAATTTCTGCGCAACTCTCCAGCGCTGCGCTCATCGGAACTCTTCAACATGGAGTGCTTCGACTACTACTCCCCGCTCCTCAAGGCTCATGTCGATAAGTACGACGAGGACTCCAGGAATTGCCTCGAAGAATACGCGAACGCCGCCTCCTTGATCGACTCGAGCTACAACATCGCCCGCAGTGCACTGGCCGACTCCGTGAAGAACACCTGCTACTCCCTGCTGACCTGCGATGGGCTTACCTCCAATGAGGATGCTTTCCAGTGTCTCGCCACATCGGTAAGAGTAGCGAAAAAATAATATTGATAAATAGTATTTGGGACTTTGAAAAAACCACAAAAAGTTAGAAATGTACTAAAAACGTATCCTTTTGTAACTTAATAACGTTTCTTCCTTCTTTAAAAACTTATAGTATTAACTTGAGAATGGAATCTCAATACCGTTGATGGTTTATTCTTTCTTCTAGAACCGATTGTTTTCATTTGTTCAAGAACAAATTTGACTCGACTTTGTTATTGTTTTCTATTTCCTATTAGTAATCATTTATATTATGAAAGAATGTTTTTATTATTAGAAGTACTCCTTTGAAAAAACTTTTTTTCTTCAAACTGACAGGCCAGCTTTGAATGCCAATCGCGTAGCTAAGCCACTAATTTGTTTGATTTCATTTGTAGTGGCATTTGGCATTTTTTTTTTACTTTATATAGTTTTTACTCAAAATGAAATGCTCTTCTAAAGATTATCTGGTTTTGATACCTTTCTTCTTTTATAAAATAGTACACAAAAAAGGGCGTGAACAATAACGCGATAAAGTTTTTTACACAAATGATCGACCGTTCTTCATTTATGTGAAAAATGGTTTTAACATATATAAGAATGCAAAGCTTAATTTAGAAAGAATTTGAGTCTTAGTTTTTCGGGCTATTTTTTTTTATAGTCAATACAATTTTTAATATACTAATATATATATATATATAATAATTTTAATATACAATTACAGGGACCCGCCGGATCCGCAGCTCTCGGTGCAGCTTCCGACGAGGCCTTTGACCACAAAACTAGCCTGACCGAGAAGTTGCTTGCCGTCCAGAAAACTCAGTCGGCCTGCCTGCTCGAGGCCCAGCGAACCTACAAGACGAACCACGGTCAGTGCTACGACGATCTCATTGCCTGCGCCGGCGATCCCTACTGGGAGTTTCCCACCACCAACAACTTCCTGTAGATGTCAAAAGAAACACTCCACTGTACAGGCCAACTTAACATGGTCTTACTCACAAACTTTTGTGGTTGTAAATAAAGACAGTTGATCAATGATCTTAATTCATTTCAATCCATAATCGATTTATTTCTATGGGGAAACCGGAAAATCCTTATTCCGACAATATTAATCGGCCATTTCCATTGTATGTTTTTATGTTCTTACATTAACAATATTTAATTGACTTGAAACCATCTTGAAAACATCTAAGTGACGATTGATAAGGGTTTTTAATCCAACTGGAAGTCCATACAGTCTAGCAGAACATTGCCAGCCAATGAACTTGTTATTATCAGTAACTGAAGATAAATTACATTAATGCCTAATTAAAAAGATTGTGACGAACGGAGCGTTCGCCGTATAAATACGGGTTGGTAGATCCATCACCGTCAAGTTTGCAACCCACGATGTTCCCGAAACATTCCCCGATCCTGGTGACTTGCCTTTTGCTGGGCGTTTCCATGGCGTCCAAGCTACATGTTGCGATTAAACCCAACTCCCACATCCAGGAGTTGCAGGTGGAGAGCAGAGAACTGGCGGAAGCCCATGCGGACGTTTCCAACAGGTGTTTCCAGATCTACACGCCAATTTTGGCTGATGTTGCGGATCAGTACCAGACTAACTTCGAAGCTTGTGTTAAGGCCTTTGACAATTCCACTGCCGTGGTCAATGAAAAGTACTCAAAGGATCGCCAGAGTGTCTTGGAATACGCCAGCAAAGGTTGCGCCACTTCTTATTGCTCGTGCTGGACGGCACAGAAACAGGACCTGGACACCGTAATCTCCCGTCTGGAATGCGCCTCTACCAATTCTGCCAAGAGCTCCAAGATCTTCTACGGAATTTCAGCCAATGCCACGGAGATCGCCGTCAAGATTACGGAGGAATATCAAGTTTTGGCATCCCGAAGGGACATTTGCATGAACAATGCAGATCGCATCTATGTGGAGGACACCACCGACACCTACGAGAAGTTGAACAACTGCCTCAAGGGCAGAGACACACAGCCACCCAGTGCGCCTGAAATACACACAACATCAACTTGTAGTGATACTACTACAACAACAACGACAACAACGACAACCATTGCTCCCGTTACAAAAATTTAGTGTAGAAAATATACATGTATTCAAAAGTTCAATATAGAAAAAAAAGGCAATCTATTTTTGGTTCTAATAAATTCATTTATTTAACACAAAACCATTTTTTTGAACACATTGTCATATGGAGCAATGATAATAATAAGCAATGACAGATATATGTATATTTACTTGAATCATTAAATCAGTATTGGAATTAATCACTGATTTAGACTTGATTTTGTAAACCTCTCACTGACGGAGGAATAAAATAAATATGAATACACAAATATGTTTATGAATTTTTTAAAAGAAATGTATTGTATAAACCTTTATTTATTTTAAATAGCTGTTGTGCAATATTTTAACAAGACTTTAGGGGAATACATTGTGGTATAAAGTGTATTGCAGATAGTCTGGTTAGATTGGTTTTATTTTCATGCTTTCACGACTGTTGACTTAAACATATATATTAAATAATTGATTAGGTTCCTAATGTTTTAAGGATGTTAATTATAAAGCTGCAGAATTTATTTTTTGGTTGTCGATCAAAAATGTTTTTGTTATGATAATAAATCTGATGTCTAGGCATGAAAAAACTTCTAATATATCTTCTCCGTAATTTGTATTTTAAATTTATTTCCGAGTCCTTTTTCTTTGACAATAAACTTAATAATTTATATAAACCCGAACCAAATTAACGTATTGTCGATTAAGCAATTGGCATACCAGGCAAGTGTTAGGTAAATATTGCCTTGAAACACTATTTAGGGCCTAAATGGTTCTTGAAATTTTATTTTTAATTCAAATACGATGTTGAACATTCGTTTTATAAGAAGGTATTAATAACACGAAACTGTTATTGATATCACTGAATTTGATTTCCAAACAATGTAATTTAACTTGTACGCAGTAAAATTAGACAAAGTTAAAAAATGTTCCGAAATTAATTAAGAAATAGGTACGATCGGCAACTTAACATTTCCTCCGACAAGAGACAATTAGGGCCAATAAAGATAAGAGGCTGGAGCAATGGATATAAAAGCGTAGTGCCTCACATCCAACGTATCCAGTCAAGAGGTAACACTAAGACTTTCAGCTATGTTTTCCAAATTCACTCTGCTGGCAGTGGTGCTAGCTTTTGGGCTTATTTCTGCCCTGAGCATTACCCTGAAGTTAAATCCCTCCAAGCTGAAGTTGCCAACTAGCAAGAAGATCCTTACACTTCAGCAGCAGACGGATATGCTGGCTGCTCGAGATCCCTACAGTTCGCAGCTCTGTTTTGGCCACTACCTTCCCATTCTCAACGACTTCACGGCCCAGTTTGAGGTGGACTATGGCAAGTGCCAAAAGGACTTCGATATCAACAGTGACGCAGTGATACTGGCCTGGAACAGTACTCTTTATGGAATCCAGCAGTCTGCTGAAAGCGGCTGTAGCACCTTCTTCGACTGTTCATCCCTGGTGGACTACGTCATGGCTTTCGAGTGCTTTGCCAGTGTGGTAAGTTTACTGAAGAAAATGCTTAAAACAAATGCAATGTTAAGTCTTGAAACCCCCTAAAAGCTTGTTTTATCAATCAGTTCCTTCAACTGGTTGAAAAGGAACCAAACCAAACATATTAAAACATTTGAATGATACAGTTTACCAAAGGGAATAACTCGAATTATTGCTAAATATTCTTTAGGGAGCTGAGCAATCGAAGATCATGTACCAAGTTTCGGCAAATTCCATCGAAGCCGCCTCCGACCTCAAGATCCACCTCCAGACTTTGGAAACATTTAAGACCAACTGCCAGAATACCGCCGATAGGGATTACGTGGAAAGCACCGCTAGCACCTACGAGAATCTGAACAAGTGTCTCGGTGGAGCTCCTCTGCCAGAACAGACCACTGCCGATTGGTTTCATTCTACCAGTTGGAATTAAAAAATAGATTACCAGAGAACTGAAAAATGAATAAATTAGATTGCGCCTGAATGTGTTTACTTGCTTTAAATAATATAAAATCCTTCGGCTTAATTTTCATTTAAAGTTCAAAAAATATATATTTTTAGCTTGTTAAAAATGTTCCGATATAACATTTTAGGAGAATTTGGTTCATACCATTGCCATAATTTGGAAGCTAATGAATTTAATGAACTAAATTAAATTCATTACTTTTTGACTTGATTTCGAATATTATTGCCCAATGATTGTGTCAATTTTTATTCCGTTTCAAAACCCCAACTCGGACCACCCGAAATTTCGAATCATATCAGTGCCGAAACCGAAACTATCCGGCTAATTTCTTTTATGTCCGCATTTAACGACAGTCCCACGGAGTTTTACCAGTTTTCCCACAGTTGGAGAGAGAGGTGCCCTTCGATATCTCAGGGCATCTATCAATGGTGGCTGGTCATCCTTTGACCTGTCCACACCCTGCTGAAAAAAATCCAGTGACCTGTGGCGGTACAGGTAAGAGGGAAATCAGTTCGCATCTTGTCTTGACCTGCGATATACTTGTAGACAATCCATTTGAAAGACTGCCGACACACCCCGACTTTGTTCACAAATTTTGCGCTTAATTAATTGTGAAATATTGGCTGGAAAATCAATTGACAATTGTGAGTTGGCCCAGCCACAATTGAGTTGTAATCGCAATGGCCAAGTAGGCGTCGCAGGATCGTCGAACTCTGGGTCTGTGGAGCTGGTTTTGGGCCGACGTTTGCTCGAACTACAATTGCCAGTCATGTCTTCATAAATTTCATTGAATTGAACCGCCGCTCGGAGTCGGTATCGGTATCCTCAACATGCGCCAAAAACACACAAAACGGGGGGAATCGGGGGGGCTAGGATATACCTATTCCGACTATTTCATCTTTCGCCGACGGCGTACGGCTCATGTTGTATGTAGCCTTAAATTGAATCGTTACAAATTTTGTTGCTCGTTATAGCAAGCGTTTTATTGCCCAACCAGTTTTGGCCGCCATGCAAAGCAGTGGAAAGACTCAGGAACCCGGGGATCTCGGTCCTGAGATTATGATCGCCTCGCCGAACCAAGACGAACCGAACCGAACTGAACTGAGCACGCCCCCTCTCCATAAAACGGTAGCCCCGGGTTCTACGGGCTCAGCGTTTAATAACTTCATTAAATGCCCTTTGACATTTATGCCAGACACACTTATTTATGTGGCACTATCTTTTCGACGGATCGGTACAGGTAGCCAGGAACCCTATAAATTACATAATCATCAGATAGTGAAACTATTTACAAGCCGAGTCTCGAGACGGGCACACCCACAGTAGCCAAACGGCCAAAAAAAAAAGGTCATCAACTATTCCTATTCCAATTGATTAGTTTCCTTTTTTTATTCGGAATTTTTATTTGTATGTAGCAGCCGCGGGTCAAAGCTAATTGCTCTAATTTCTAGCTAAGACATTTTTCTGGCTGCCGCTGGAGCCATAAATATTGTCGATCAGATCGGTGATCGCGCAGCTTGCGACCGCCGATTTTTATCAGGAGTCAGGCCAAAAGTCTGGGCTCCGAATTTGTCGTCGGCCCTTTGGCCAAAACAATGGCCATTTGAATTCGAGTTGGCCCAGAGCCCGCGGCCAAAAGCCCAAGATTTATTGCGCCCCATGCCCTACAATCTGGCGGGGACGTTGCACTAGACGGCCTTATCTCACACACTCCCTGACATTCAACTATACAGATACTACACATATATATAATATATACATCGCAAAAGCACGTGGCAACTGATAACTACAAAATAATTCTGAGAAGTGATAATACAAACAGATCGTAATTGATCGACTAATTGGTGCTGATTCCATGCTTTGCCTTAGTTCATATTAAGTTGACAAGAAATCGAAAAAACGTGTTTCCATTGATAGAACATAGTAATCTCCCAAATATTTTCGTTTAGAGAATCTTAAAGCATTCTCTCTTATCTCTGTAATTAGTTTAGCCTACTAAGAATTACAAATAGATTATGAAGCTATAGTAGAAATGTTGATTTGTGTTAGATTCAAAGTAATTCAAAGTAACAAGTAAAAATAATCAACTATTAAGTGAAGCTTTTTGTTATGTATTAAGTAGCGAATAAAAATGGAAATCCGTATAGAGTAGCTTGCGCTACTAGTTCCCATTTATATTTTTTTATATTCAAAAAATAATATTTAAGAGATAAGAAAAGCACCTTTAATGGTTTTCGAAAATACTTTTGTTTTCAAAAAAATAAGAAAACACAATTTAAATATTTTTTTTATTGGTTAATTAACATTATTAATTTATAAAAACTAGAGCCTTTCTAAGTCGACTTGAGAAACCCGATTTCTGTGTTCGATGTGCCGCTGTGATTTTTGCGTATTCCGTCTGAATCCGAGTCCCCCAGAAATCCAAAATCCAAAAAGTGATCGATATGCGGCGGTCAGTCGACAGAACTTTGTTATTATTATGTATCTCGGAGCGATTAACAGACGCATTTCAATTTTATTGCGCCAGATCATTATCGGAGCGCGGATTGGACCTTTTTGTTTGGCTGTCGTTGCTGAGGCCGAAAACTGTGCGACAACAAATCATTAGATCATGATCACGATCATAACAAAATCATAATAAAATCGAAAACGGAGAAGAAACCCGGCCAGGCGCTCTCGTCGAACCGTGGATCGGCATCAAAGGCGGCCCGAAATTAACATCGAGGCGCGAAGAGAAACTTTCCTTTCGCCGGACGATGCCAATGATTTCACCCAGTGCCACATATTGGCCAATGCCACAGCGAAGGAGAACGCGACATTACTATGAAGGCACTGAGAAAAATTCATGTTTAAAATAAGAAAATAATTAGCCATCAATACGAGCGAATTTTTCTTTCTGTAAGAAAATTTATTAATGTAGATCGTCATAAATATCTTTAGAATGAAACCCATTACAAAAATTAAAAAAAAAAGTATACCAGAGTATAGCATTTAATATAAATAGGTTGTACATAATTTTTAAAAAGCAAAAGGTTTATAATTCCCAAATCAAACGATAATATGTTTTAAAAGGAAATATGCTTCAAGGAATCAATTAACTTAGAAGTCACTGGCATTTTAATTAATAATAAAAATCTAAAGGCATGTAGAAGTCATGAAATAGTTTTAATAAAGTTAAAACAATAAAAAAGCATTAAACAGCAAGGAGAACACTAACAAATTTTCAAATCAAATAACCCTTTTCCCCAGTGCAACTTCATCATCGTCATCTCTCAACGAAATGGAGACGTGCCATTGCGGGTGGCTTTGGCAATTAGACAACAAGTGCCTGCGAGGTAATAAATAGCGGCGGCCAGTTCAAAAGCGCGATCCACTAATCAGCTGGCCAAATGCCAGGAGAAAAACCCGTTGAGGAGGTGTGAAAATCGTTTACCGATCGCCGAGAACAACGACGCGGCCATAATGGGCTGCAGTGGAGCGAAGTTTAGCAAATAAATTAATCAAAAGGAAATCGGCGTCGGACGCAAACGAGTTACCCACCGTTGACCGCTAATTCACATATGATTTATTTTATAAATTAGGCAGCCCACTCGGAGATCAAAGCCACCATCGCACTTAGCTCCATTGGCTTCTCAAACAGACTTCTCTGGTTTTTCTTAACATTTTTTTTTCCTTTTTTTGATCGCACCGCCTTAAAGACAAAGCACTTCGGAAGCGGCTTCTGAAACCCGAAAAAAATCGAAACGGTTAAATTTGTTTGTGCAGCGGCAGCGTTTGGTAATGAAACGCTAAGTGGCCAACAGTTGTTTAACCAAGGGCCTATTTACCAATCAGCCGGATTCGGCTGACAAATTGTTTGGCCCTCCGCTGGCATTTCGGGCTGGTTTTAAAATTTAAATAATTAAAAACCAAGGGTTAAATACCACTACGCTGGTAATCATTCCTGTCCCCCACTCCGCACTCGCTGCTTATCAATTTAAGAATACAACTTTATCGCTTAATCCCCGACTTTTCCAATTATGGCACTGAGAATATGTTTGCTTTGAAATTGATTTGACTTGCACCCCTCATAAGGCGGGTGTTAACCACCCGTAGCCAGAAAAAGGGCGGCATCGTCTCTCTGTTTATCCCATTCGTTCCACCCCTCGGCACAATGCTCTATGATATATGTAATTTTGATAACGAGAGCATTTAAGCTAAAAAGGGTGGAGGCTGCATGCAGTGGTGTCACCTCTAAATATAAAAAGTAGCTAAACGTTGTTAAAATACTCGAAAATTCCCTTAAATAAAGTTATCTTGGCATTGATAATGTCTTTTAAATAAATACATTTCTTTTAAATTAGTATTACTCTTATTATTATAGTACTATTATTTTTACAAAAAAAAATTATTTATATTAGAATGCTCACAAGAAATAAAACCATTATTCTCTTCCCAAAAAAACAAATATTTATTCGTTAAAATGAGGCTTAAAATTGATAGCAGAGGTTAAGTAAAGAAATATATATACCTTATTACAAACACTGTGTATTTTAGGATCTTAAAAATGAAAATGCAGCTAGAAAATAGCCAACTTAACAGAACTGAGCAGAAGAACTTCCTCGGGTTCTCTCGTAATTTGCCCGCCTAACGTGTTCCTGGACCAAATCCCAAGAACCCACAAGCCACCCTCGCTTCTCCGAATTTCTCTGGTGGTGGCTGCCACGTCCTCGTCCCCATCCTCATCCTCATCCTCCTGTTTAACCAACGCTCTGTTCTGCTGGCTGTCGACGCATATTAATCCAATTATCATGCACTGTGCACGAAATCACTTAATCGTTTCGAAATGCGGAAGACCATAGGAAAGGGAGTATTACACAAAAATGGTTACACTTGGACTACACAGTCGGAATCATTCAGTTTTAGTTGCATTTAGTCACTGCCCTCTGATTATGATTGATGCCAACTGGGCAAATGTCGCTTTGTGACAGCTCCTAAATGGGTTCTAAATTTAATAATATAGGGATT